GGAGGAAGCGGAGGATGAGGAGGAGGAGGAGGAGAAGGAGGAGGAGCAGGAGGAGGAGGAGGAGGAGGAGGAGGAGGAGGAGGAGGAGGAGGAGGAGGAGGACCAGTGCAAACCCAAGACTCATCCGCTGTTGCAATACCCCCCTCCAGGTTCCTTCTTCACAGGTCCCTATAAGGATTGGTCTTCACTGGGGGAAGTGCCCCGTAGGAAGACACCCGTTTGAAAGTCCTGAACGGTACCAGAACACAATTCCTGCGACTTCAATGTTGCGAATCAGCATGGCTGTTGCGTCCCGACGATCCTTCACCGTGCCAGAGCACTGTTCCTGGGACGTCAACACCGCGAATCAAGGTGACTGTTGCGCCCTGACAATCCAACATCGTGCGAAAACATATGTTTGGGACGTCAACCGAGAACGTTCGAAACTGCTTCTTAAGGCGCAAGTGTGCGGCTCTTAGGCGAAAACCGCACTTTGAAAAGGGGCCGCCCTCCACCGGCTAAACTCTTACATATTTGAACACGAATGCGCGCGGCGCTTCGGCGAGAGCCACATTTTGAAAACCACCCGCCCTCCATCCGTGAAACTTTTGCAGAGTCCAAGATTCATGAACATGACTGGTGAAGAAGTCTCAGGCGGAAACGCCCCGCCCGTCCTACCATTATGTCTGAGAGTACGACAGGGAGGGATTTGTAAGGAGAAGGGATGGAGGATAATGCAAGGGGCGCTGGCGCGGAGCTTGCGCTCTGGCGCCTGGTCCCCTCCCCCCCCCGGCTGGCGGCTGCGCCCGCATGGCCAAAAAAGCGGGTGCACGCTTTCTCCTCAGATTTCAGGCGATCTGTTTTTTCAAGTTGGGAGTGTTTTAGTGGTCTTTGCTTTTAATTTTGGTTTCGGCCCCGGAGGCCCGCTAACGGCGATCGGGCCCCAGGGCCAGGGACGGACAAACATTACCCAAGGGAAGTGGTCGGAAGGTTTGGGGCCGCGGATTGAACAAACATCAGATTGGCGGATGCCTGGGCTCTCTCTCTCTCTCTCTGTCGCCATCCCGCGCAGGCCCTGTGCACAGCCTGCCTGCTCCCTTCCTCGCGCAGGGCCGCGATGCTGCTCCCCGCCCCTCCTGGTTTGGCGCCTCGGTGTGCAGAGCTCGGCCCTTCGCGCCTGGGCGCCTTCTGGCGCGACGGGCTTGTCACAGCGCCAGCGGAGGCGGCAGTGCTCGTGGTCGCGGTGTTACGGTGGAGGCCCGACCGCAAGAATTCGTCCGCGAGAAACCCAGCCCTGAGACCCCAGGACGCCCATTGGCTCTTGGTCTGGGGACGTCACGCCTTCCACCGCGACGCTGTCGAAACCCAAGAAGCCCAGGGCACCCTGGAGGCAAGCAGCAGGGTGGTTCTTGGCATGGGCCTCCACTGCACACATGCCCGCATCCGCGGGATCGCGCCCAGGTGTCCGGGATCGTGAGGGCGCGGATGCGGAGGTGCTCGCCGCCCGTGAAAAAGTGGGCCGCGGCTCTCGCTGTGGGGCCGACGGGGCCCGCTGGGGAAGCGGGCCCTGCAGTGCTGCTCCGCCCTGGCCCCCCGCGGGGCCTCCACGGGAGCCAGGGCGCGCCTGGAGACGACTCAGGACGCAAGTAGGGGAACAACAAGTGGCATAAACATAAAAACTCTGAGGTCCGCGCGGATTTCTCGGATCGGCGCTGGACCCCCCTCCCTGGCGCGCGGAGCGCGCCAGGGGCGGCGCCAGAGGCGCCGCCGGGGGGGCCCAGCGCCGATCCGAGAAATCCGCGCGGACCTCCGAGCTTTTCTGCTTATGCCACTTTTTGTTCCCCTATCCACGGGCCCGGGGCGCGCCTGGAGACGACTCAGGACGCAAGGCCGGTCCCGGATGGAGCAGCCCCCGTGTCCTGCGGGGCCCGCCCCGCCCGTGCCAACACGGTGGGGAGGCGGCAGCGTGGCGGTGCAAGGCGAGGCTCCAGCGAGGCGGTGCTCTGGCGAGCTCCTGGGCCGGTCTCGCCCCGATCTCGTCTCGCAGCACAGGCAGAGCGAGGACCGAGCGAGGGACAAAAAGGAGCACAACACGAGGCTGGAAAACGCCGCTGAGCTCGAGCCCTGGGGCGGCCGTGTGGCAGCGCTTCCAGGTTTTAAGTCGGGCCTGTCCCTCTACAGGGGGAATGTTCAAAAATAGTAAAATAGTCAAACAATAGTCTTGGGACAATTTTTGGATCATTCAGAAATATTGCAATCAAACAAATATTTTTGGGGTATTCTTGATTTCTCGTCCAAAATCCCCCTGGGGCGGCCGCGTGGCGGCGCCTCCGGGTGCCCCGGAGCTCCCGTGGGCGGCTATCGGTCTGGGCCGCGGCGGGGGTTCGCGTCGCCGCGCCGCGGCGGCGGCGCGCGGCCGCGGGCGCCCGAGGCCGAGCACCCCTCCGGGCCCCGTTGGGCCCGCAGGGAGCGGCCACGGCGCGAGGTCCAAGCGAGAGTCGACTGGACGTGCAGTCGAGTCGGGCCCGTCCCTCTACAGGGGGGAAGACTCAGAAAGAGTCAACAAATAGTCGGGGGATTGATTTTTTGGGGTATTTTGGGGCATCTCTGGGGTATTTTTCGAGTATTTTGCATTCTTCGTCCAAAACCCCCCTGTATGGGGACACGCCCGGCTTAAACGTACAGTCACGTAGCCCGTGCCGTAAGGAGGCGCGCGGTAAGGATGCGAGGGCCTTGGAGGGCCAGGTTCACGTTTTTCGAACGAGGTTGGCCAGCGAGAGCGGCCAAGGATGCACCGCGGAGGCAAGGATGCGAGGGTGCCCCTGGGCAGATTGCCCATCTTGACGATGCGGGTTGACTGTAAGAGTGACCCTTCACCAGAGTGACCTTAGGTGCGGGCCCATTGGGGTGCCCCAATCGCCGAGCGCGATCCGGAAGTAGCGTCTTGCGCGCTTGTGTTTGGTCCATGTTTGGTTCCCCCGCTGCCCCCAAACAAGCGTGCACCAAAGGTCACCCTTGCGTGTAGCCGAGAAAGGTTATAGGTCGACAGACTTGGGGCTTAGTGGGCCTTGGCAGCGGCAGGTCCGTTTTCTTGTTGCCGTTCTCCCAGACCTGGTTTGTAATTATGTGGCAACGTTTTTTTGCTGCTAGCCGAAGATGAGCAGATCGGCGCTGGAACCGGAACCGGAACAAGAAATGCGACGGAATTGGAACGACACGACGGAATCAGAAAACAAGGTCAAACGGAACCGGTGACACAAACTGCCTTGCCGTTTCAAATGCCCACTAAGAGTTGAGGGACCTCAGAGAGCGGAGATCGTTCTAGGTTGAGCGGCTGATGCCGTGGCAGGAGCCCTGGTTGACGACGTCATGGCAGGGTCTGGGCCCCCACCGCTTGTCAGCGGAAGTTGCAGACGAATCTGGCATTCGGGGCTGGGGGTGGTTCCCTAGCTCACCCGGGAGGGATCGTTCGTGAACCTCTCCGCATGCCCTTCCCTGCACTTCGCCTTCGTCCTCCTCCTCCTCCTCCTCCTCCTCGTCGCCACCCTCGTCCTGCCGCGCTGTCTGGGCAGTTAGCTCTCGTGGGTCACGGTAGCTCCGTGCCGCCTCGGCGCGGCGGCAGGCGCCAGCGCTGAGGAGATCGAGGGCGCCCGGCAGTCTCCGGTGATCCCGGGCCGCAGAGGTCGCCAGAGGCTCGGCGGCACCTCGAGGCCACGCAACGGTGCGGTGCGCCGGTGGGGGCTCGGGGCGACGGCACAGCTTTGGGATCTTCGGGCCGTCCTCCGAGGGAGTCTCGGGCGGCGGGGGCCGGCAGGGTCCCCGGAGCCGTGCGGTCACGGACCGTGCGGTGAGGTTTTTGGGGGTTCCGAGGGAGGAGGAGGAGGAGGAGGAGGAGGAGGAGGAGGAGGAGGAGGAGGAGGAGGAGGAGGAGGAGGAGGAGGAGCAAGAGGAGGAGAAGGGGGAGATGGAGGCAGATCAGTGCAAACACAAGGCGCATCAACGATGTTACAATCAACTCTCTTTCACAATTCCCTCTTCATAGGGCCCTACAAGAATACTTGCCATTGCGGCAAATGCCCCATTGGAAGGCAACAGTCTGGGAATCCTCAATCGTGCCCAGACACCGATCCTGGGACTTCAACGTCGCAAACCAATTTGACTGTTGCGTCCTGGCAATCGTAACTCTTGACAGAACATCACTCCTGAGACTTCAACACCGCCAGCCAACGTGACTGTTGCGTTCTGAGGGTCCTAAATTTTGCCAGAACGCCATTCCTAGGACTTCGAACGTGGGAATTCTTGAAGCTGTCGCATACGTTCAAAAGGAATGTGAGCGGCGCTAGTGCGAGAGGTACGTTTTGAAAACGAACCGCCCTTCATTTTTGAATTTGCTGCAAGCTTTGAACGCGAACCTTCGCGGCGCCAAAACGAGAGCCACATTTTGAACACCACCAGCCATCTATGCTTGAAGCAGTTCTACATGTTGAAGATGAGTGCGGGCAGCACTGCGGCGAGAACCAATTTTTGGAAACAGGAACCGCCATGTATCCATGAAACGTTTGAGAACTTTTGGGGCGAATGTGAGCGGTGTCAAGGGGAGAGCCACACGTTGAAAACTACCCGCCCTCCATCTTGGAACCAGTTGCAACATGCTGCCTGGACCCGTGCGCGGTGCTGAGGCGAGATCCATACGCTGAGAGCCACCCGTCCACCATCCGTGAAGCTTGTGCACATTTCGAGCCTCAGGATCATGAGCGGTGAGGAAGGCTCCGGCGGAAACGCCTGGCCCGAACAGCCGACACTCCTGAGGGCGGGTGCGACAGGGAGGGGGCTGATAAGGAAAAAGCATGGACAAGGAGGGGGAACAGGAGGAGGAGGAGGAGGAGGAGGAGGAGGAGGAGGAGGAGGAGGAGGAGGAGGGGGAGGAGGAAGAGTTGGAGGAGGAGGAGGACGGGCAAGAGGAAGTGAGAGGAGTAGGAGGAGGGGAGTAGGTGAGGATGCGGGAGGCGCACGGTGTCACACCGCTCCGCGCTGAGATCCCCAAGCTGAGCGGCACCCTTGGGGCGGCAGAATCCGGGGCCTGCGGCATTTTTGGCAGGAGGGCACGCCGTGGGGCTCGCTCGGCCCTTCGCCCCGAGCGCAATTTTGATGCCTCTGCCCTTTCCTCACACCCTCCTCCTCGCCTCCCACCTCTCCTCCTCTCCTCCTCTCCTCCTCTCCTCCTCCTTCTCCTCCTCCTCCTCCTCCTCCTCCTCCTCCGCCTCCTCCGTAGCCATCTTGGCTCAAGCCATTCTGGCGCAAGCTGGTCTGGCTCAGGGCCTTCGGGGCTGAACGCGCGAGCGCGCGGAGGCCGCGCATGCCGGGGGAGCGGCTGGCAAGTGCTCGAGGGAGGCGGCCAACCCCAGCAAGGCCAAGGCTGGCGGGGGGTCTTCGGCGATGACCCCACGTCGAGGATGGAGCACGCGGTCCGCCGTCTGCGTCTTCTCCCTCGGCCGCCCCCCGCGGCCGCCCCAGGCCCCGCTGGCCCTCCCCTGCAAGCGAAGGCCTCTGTGAACGGTGCGCTGGTTGACATCGCCATGGGGGCGCCGCGGACGGAGCTCCGCGAGTCCCAGCCCCAAGCGGAATACCTCGACGGGTACGGCGTCAAGGGCGTCGACGGGAACCACCTGCCGCCGCCGACGCTCGCCTCCATCGCCCGGCGCTCTGCGCTGCTCGCCGGGCCATGCTTGGTCCTGACGGTCTCGGCCCCAAGGCTTGGTTGGCTTCTTCGCTCGGCATCGGCACCTTGTCGTTGGCCATGCACTGGCAGTCGCTGGCCTTCCGATGCGCATCTCCTGGAACTTCTCGGTCGCGGTCTTCCCTGCCATTGGTGCCAGGCTGGAGGGCCCGATCGGGGTGGTTCGTCGTCCAGGCGAGACTCGTCCGCTGGCGCTGGAGAACAACTCGAAGAAGGCGGTGACGTGGGCCATCAATCGTCACATGAAGCCCGCGGTCGAGCAGCGCTCTGTGGCCACGCAGCGCGGCTTCCTGCGGGGCCGCAACTTCTGCAACAACATCGTGCAGCTGGACACCTTATCGCGCCTCCTGGCGATGCGCGCTAGCGACGGGAATCTGGACTCTTGCCCGATGCTCCTGTCTCTCGACTTCGGCCAGGCCTTCCCCAGCATTGAGCACGACTGGATCTTCGTCGCCCATGCGGGCCTCCCAAGCGCCGAGGGGCCTGCAGGCGGCGTTGCGCGCCGACTACGACGGCGTCCAGAGCTTCGCCGCCTCTCGGCCGCGCCAGCCGCTGTGTGTACATGGTCCGCTCGGGCATCCTGCAGGGCGACCCTGCCAGCGGCTCGCTCCACGTGCTGGCCGCGCATGCGTTCGGCCGCGACATGGACATCCACGTGGACTTGAACGGGTCTGGCCGCACGCGGTGGTGTGCAGACGACCTGGGCGCTGCGGTCAGAGGTACGAAGGCGCTGAAATCCATCGCTCGTGACTTCACGGTGGCGCGCCTCCTGGCCAGCCTGTGGCTCAAGCCGGCCAAGTGCCACGCCGTCCCGCTGGGTGCCCCGCCGTCGGAGGACCTCAACACCGAGACCTCCCGCCGCCTGTCGGAGGCCTGCTGCGACTGGCGAGACTTCCTCGTCGGCGACTCCCTGGAGTGCCTTGGCGTGCTCCTTGGCCCTGGCACCGACCCCGCCTCCCAGTGGGGGGTGCCCCTCGCCAAGCTCCGCGAGAGGGTGGGGGAGGTGGCGCGCTCGAAGGCTGACGTGCAATCGCTGGCCTTGCTCTACGGCGAGGGGTGCGTCTCCGTCCTGGGCTGCAAGGCGCTGCTGCTGGAACCAGCCTCCGAGCTGCGGCGGCTGGAGAAGGCTCTGCTGCCCAAGCTGCTGCGTCTCCCTGGTGCCTTCCTCGGGGCGACGGCGAGTGGCACGAGCTCCCGTCGGTCGGCGGCCCGCGGCTGTTGCCAGCATCCACCTGGACGCAGGCGTGCCTGGTCAGGGCTGCCACGGCGACGCTCCACGCCGTCGTGCAGGTGGAGGCTGCGGCCCTATGGGAGGCGGCGGAGCAGCACCTGCCGATGGTCCGCTGGCTGGGGGGACAGCC